GCTGGCAGGGGAAGAGTTAAGAAAAGCAGAGAGGAGTAGATAGGAGAAAAAGAGAGAGCACATGAAAATAGTGAAATACTACAAATGAGTGTGATTGCTCACCTATAGGTCTGGCAACTGGCATCATGCCAACGTATAACACCTGGAACTTCTGCACCAGTTCAGTCTTTGGTGTGGGGAACTCTGCTAAGGGTAACAGACAGCATACACATTAACACACACCTACTATTCAACAAAGAAGAAACACACATATAAGCATGCTGTGTTACCTTGTAGTGGGACGTCGAGCCCAGAATGTGTTCTGTCCTGTAGAGATCCTCCAGCCATAGCTTTGGCATTCTTGCGCTCTGCCATGATCTATTACACAGAAATCAAACTCATTAAACTCGCTGCCCTAAATCAGCAGCCTAAACAGAATGTGAACCCTGTTTCTTCCTTCTCAGCTGTGTTCTATCATTACGCACAGACTTGAGACTATCAGTGGTTTTCTCTGCAATCTAATATCATTTTTGCATTTAACTGTTTTGAATGGGCCATTGAGGATAATTTTGTGTTGGATGTTGTTTATGTAGCGTGTAGTTCTCACCCTGGAGCAGATTTCGTGCAGACTGGTGGCGATGGCTTTGGCAGGGGTGTCACAGCGGAACACATGACATTTTAATATCCGGGTGTCCTTATCTCGTGCTACATATGCAAAATCCCTGTTTGCACACAATTAAAATGAAACAAGTTTAAACTTATATGTAAACAGCTGTTTAAAGTCAAGATGAAACACCGTTTACTACCCATTTAATTCACATAATCTGTCATATTTCCAAAAAAGTATAAGTAAAAAAAAAAAAAAGATGCAGGGCGTCACTTTATTTTGTCCATAGGGAAATGATTGGACCCCAAAAAGTTACATACCAGAATGGAGCCAAGTCGAAAGGTGAAAGGAGTTATTATAGTTTTATAAAATAAATACGAACACAAACATATTTTATTTGGAATAAAGTGGACAATAAGACCAGGAATGTGCATTTTGAAAGTAAATAGAGTCCACTTTGATTTCATGTTGACTTTAAGCAAATATTTTAATTTCTTTAATAAAAACGATCAATAAACAATGCAGATGAACAGACACATGGTTATAATGTGAGTTGTGAAAGTGAGTTTGTGTGTATTTCTGTGTTTGTGCATATGCAAAGAACTGTCCTAAAATACCCTGATGGATGATGTGCCCTTTAGTTTAACAGAGACAGTCAATTTAAAAAACAGTTACTTAAATAAACACACCCACATTTCAGGCAAACAAAAAATGGTGTAAAATATAACCATGGACAAAATGCACACACATCACCTACTATATGCAGGTGCATGTGGCTATCTAAGATGAATGAGTGTCTCTAAACTTACACCTCCAGCTGTATTACACACATTCTTTATCATTTCTGCTAAAAATAAACTATTATGAACAAAATGTCCAGGAAGAGACTACAACCAGGCAATGATGAGAATATAAGTAATAATAGGGTAAATCGGCAAAACTGTGATTCAGCATCCCTGATGAAGTATGCTGCATTCCACCCCTGCATCATTCACACACACTCACTAACACACAAACCAGTCAGCTCTTCTGGGACTAAAGCAGGAAAGCTCTTTAGTGTGTGAGAGATTCATATGCAACTTTTGGATGACCTCACAAACACTCTTCACATACAGCTACACATACGGGCAGCCCCTATAACACTGGATTAAACTTTCATTAGCACTTGTCTCTCTATCATCAATCTTTTATTTCTGTCCTCCTTTCACTGGGGTGACTTTAATCCAGAATCATTATATAGTGACCTTAAGCTTGAAGGGGCTGGAGGAGTGTCTCGATATCAGAATACATTAACAGAGACACATTAAGTGAATCTCTTGCAGAGTGTTATAGATAATGAGCACATGAGGAAAGTCACAGGTGCAGAGATGCTGACATTTGCAGATCTAAAATCTCTAATTAAAATGAAATGTGAAGAATTCACGACACATGCTTCATGCAATATTTTACACTCAACAGTCACAATATATTTTTGATGATTTTGCTTGTGATGTAAAATTAAGAAATGTTCTGTGCATAAGACAAACTGTCAGTTTAAACCTTTTGCTTTTACCGTCATCACTCAAAAATGTGTATGAAAGTCTCTTTTTTGTATATTAAAATGTTCTAACAAATTTTTTAAAATATATTCTAAATACTGCTTTTCTATTAAATACTGATATTTATTACTATGTATTTTTATATTGGTGCATATACATGAAAATAAATACCATTATTCCTTCATAATGATTTAATGGAAAAAAGGTGAGGAAAACATCTTCCTCAGTTCTTGCATTTTTGTACATTTAAGTTTTTTGCATTTAATGTTTTGAAAATACTTGGCAACACTGGCTGAAAAAGTACGCTTTTAGAAGCCATCTGAAAATTTGAAATAATTATAATTATTCTTTTTTTATTTGATAAAAAGCATTTCCCTTTAATAAAAAAAGGATTGTAATGTTGAAATGTACATCCATTCAACATCTTTTGTAGGTCAGTTTGGTTTTTGAAAATGTTGATCTGATTTAACTAGGCAGAAACTGCTTACTCTAAAACAGTGCAGAGCTTCGAGCCAACATTCAGTGGGTCACAGAGATTAAATATTATTAGTGTTGATAGATGACCAGTCAGCCGAACAGGATCAGCAAAGTAGAAAATTAGCTCCACGTAAATAAAACTCTGATGATGTTTATGGCAGCTGAGAGCTGTAATGTTTTAACTCACATAAAATCCCTTTATGCCCCATCTGTGTGGTTTCCAAAAGAATTTTAGAAACACTTCCCACATTTTCATAAATACAGAGTGAGTTATTAATCATTCAGTTTTGTTCAGTTTATCTCTGTCATTTATTAAACATTTCATAAACCCTTCCTCATTTAACATGTTCTCCTTAACTAACCCATAAAAATAAACTTTGCCATGGCAACCAGTGCATACCTTCCATTATCGCGGCCTACGCCCCACACACGGATGCTTGCGATTGGCTGAGAGTGTAGAACGCTTCGATCCATCGGGTCAACCAGATTCAGCATGTTATTCTCCAGAATGAGGTACATATCCTTCCCCTGGACACACACGCACAACGCAAGAGGATAAGATAAGGCTTTAGTTTCAAAACCTTGTGAGCTTTCTTGCTGTCCACTGCCTTCATAGGCAGCTGCCTTCTAAGGCATCATTTAAATAGCACTGAATTTTTAAAACTATGCTTTTTGGTACTGAATGAAATGTATGAATTCATGTAATTTCATGCAACAAGCAGAGTTCAGAGCACACAGTAGCTCCATAGCTGTTGCTCAGTTAAAAACATGATACTCTAAAAAGCATAAAATGCATGCAAAAAAAGCACATGCAAATAACTGGTAAAACAGTTTTTTTTTTTTTTTTTTTTTATGTTTTTGGTATTGAATGAAATGTATTTTATAATCCATGTCATCTCAAACAAAGCGCACTGCAGCTTGACAACTGGGGGATGTTAACATGTTGCTAAGATGATACTTGATAAACAAGCTTTTTAAAAATATTGAGTAAAATTGTTAGCCTATTTGTCAAAATTGTCAATTTGATTGTCAAATTATTGATGCTTTTGAGTATTGAATAAAATATTTTAACTAACATTTCTCCTGCTCCACATTTTCACAGAATTTTTCCATGAATGATAAATGCAATGCTGCCTTAGAATTTGAAGGTTTTTTAGAAGCCTTCTGGAACCAGTCGGAGGTGCACCTATGATGCCATAAAATACTGCCTATGCAGGCATCTCGCTGGGTTTTGGAATCAATGTCACAAGCTACTATAAGGTCTAAGGATGCCTGTGCTTATATGTGTGTTGAAAGTAATAAATAAATGATCAGACCAGAAAATAAAAGGCAGGAGGAGAACAGAGGCTCTCTTCCTGTGTCCTGTTACAACACATTAAACTCTCTTTCTTTCTTCCTCTTCCTCTTCTATTCACTTGCTTTTTTTCTGCATGACATTTTCAGCTTTCCCTCTTTTCGTTTTATTCTTTTTTGTCTCTTTTATGTTTTATCCCCATTTCTGCCTTCCCTTTTTCAAGATGATGTTTAGAAACATTGTGTGTATTTTTGCATGAATATGCACCATATGTGCCTTCCTGGGTTTAGACTATAGTGCTGGTCTAGCTGGTTGACCAGCAGAACCGTGTAAAACTGGTCAACCAGCATAGGTTCTTGTAAATCTTGTTAGTATGTGTGTGTGTGTGTGTGTGTGAGAGAGAGGGTGAAGCTGTCTCTCACCTCTCCCCAGATGCCCACAGTGTCTCGTATATCATTCTTGCAGTAGGACAGTTGACGGATGCAGTTGTTAACAGCGACGCTGCTTTTACCCGGAGCCAAATCCTCCTCAGCCATCTCTACCCAGCCGAGAGAGCGCACAGCAAAACACTGTAATAAACAAACCCACTGATTAAGCACAAAGACTGTAACAAATAACTACAGGGCAACAGCTACACACTATGAAAATGAAGAGCGCAGCAAATATACGACTTAAGACATAATAATAACAGCTCGCACAAGAACAAGCCCAGTAATATAGTATTGTGTTTGTCTATTACATCTATTTCATTATACCTCATATCCTAAATCCTCCTACTCCTCTATAGTGAGACAGATTAAACTGAGGAAACACCTCTTAAAATTTTCACATGGCATCTTCTAAGAATAGAAAGTGAGAGCGTGTTCATACACATACATGATCACTTACACACACACACACACACACACACACACCTCTTATAACAGGGTGCTGAGATCAAAAGAGAAGACCCCTTTTACTGGAAGAGCTTTTCTTTCATCTTTCACTTGTTCACCTCCTCCTTTCTCATCTGTATCTCACTCCCAGCACTCTGAGAGCAAAATCATCCATCATTCTGTCTCTCTTCTTTTCTGACAATCTGTGACAAGGCGCCTCCATTATAAAAGTGTTTGTGTGTGCGAGAGATTAATAGCAGGCAGAATGCTGTCATGCTCTTTCAGTTTGATTTTAACTGCTGCTGAAAGAACAGATCCTCAAGAGGAAGAGTGTGAAACAAGCAAAGAGGGATAGAGAGAGAGAGAGAGAGAGCGAGAGAGAGAAAGAGCATGACTTGAAGTGTATATTAAATGGTAACATAAACGCCAAATGAATATCATCTGACAACTCATAGCCAGAAATGAGAAATCCAGTAAAAGTTCAACTTGAGCTACAGTGGGGTTCCTGCACAGTTGCGATGCAGAGAGCTACATTCTTCATCTGTCTGTTGCCTCTATAGTATATAGTATAGATTGACAACTGGTCCACCCAGTCAAATGAGACACATAAATTAAGGCTATATTTCCATTGCATATCAAGTTTGAGAAATAAACAGTAATTTTAGTGTTAAAAAAACGTGCCTTTGATTTGATATATTAGGCGATATGCATCATAGTCTAACTGCAACAGTCAATCGATAAGTAAATAAATCTATGTGATCTACTATGGTTTACTAATGTTTGGTCAAGCTACAAATTTAAAAAGCAGCGTTTTGTCTCTACCTCATTTGAGAGCTTTTCAACAAAATACAACACAAGACAATTTATTATGCTTTATGCTTGACAGGTCACATTTTTAAGTAAAGTCACATTTTCAATTTAGGCATTTATTTTTGGCTCATATCTTTGACCTTTTTCTCTTTCAGCCAAAAACCAATAATGCTGTATTGTATTAGCATGGACTGTAAAGAAATTAATACTTTTATTCTGAAAAGGCATATTAAATCCAAAAGTGACAGTAAGACATTTATAATGTCACAAAATTATTTTTATTTCAAATAAATGCTGTTCTTTAAACTTTCCATTCAACATATAATTAAAAAAATTCATTTATGTAACATGGTTTCCACAAAACATTTTCAACATTGATTGAATAATAAGAAATGTTTCTTGAGCAGCAAATCAGCAATGATTTCTAAAGGACCATGAGACACTAAATACTGGAGTAATGATACTGAAAATTCAGCTTTGCTAGCACAGAAATAATTAATCTTTTAAAAAATATATTAAAATAGAAAAAAAATATTTTAAATGGTCACAAACAATATTTCACAATATTACTGTTTCATTGTATTTTTGATCAAATAAAGGCCATTTTTGGTGAGCATAAGAGATGTCAAAAACATTTAAAAATCTGCAGACCTCACACTTTTAAATGGTAGTGTATGTGACACATTGCATAATCAAATATTTGAAGGATTAACTGATTTGTATTGATTTCTTTCACATTTTGTGTTTTGTGGCACAAATGCATTTGACTATGTATTTATGAGGGTGTTGTTTAGTGTTTTATGTTAACATCAGGGTTCCTCTGCATTAAGGACATATCTCACTCTTAGATAAAAACATCAGAAATAATAACTACAAATTTGTTTTTCCATCTTCATCTTTACCCACGTCTCCAAGCATGACGTGCATATGCATTTCTTTGAGCAGCCAGAAGATGGCACTGTATATCTAGAATTACATTGGAGGATGGAACTCCTGACTGCACCACTAAATTCCAGCAATAAACTATGTTTGAAATAGTTTGTGTCAATCCTGGTACATGTTAAAACCATGTATTTGTCATGCTTTAAAAAAAAATAAAAATCTCACAGAACTAGGGGACATGATAATGTTATGGTGATCAAGATTAGAAATTTTGTTAAAATCATTATTTACTCTTTAACAGGACCCAAAATGTATACTTTTCTCACTTCTGCTAATGGCAGGTAAACTGAACGGCCTATTTTGCATTATTTCAATGCAAAAAAAATAATATTTTGTCCATATGAGAATGCAAGTATTTGCTGTTTCCATTGAGGTAAGAGGTGTTACATGATACAGCAGTCGCAACAACCTTTTATTTAGTAGACGCTTATATGTCTTTGATTTGATTCATTTTTGTCTCTTACAACAAGACCTTGACTATCATTCTTATAATCTGACTTAAACCATATAATGTTGCAATTCCTAAACAAACACTAGCCAATTAGTGTGCAACTCCATTATATAGCATATTGCTTTAAGAGCTTGGCGAGTATGAATTTGGATCCTGCCTTCAAGACTATAATAAGTTCTCTGTAGAGCTGTTATCTTTGAATAGCTGCACAAACTCATGTACTCTCACCTTGGCTTCAGGGTCACTGTTAATGCTGCTGGAATCTTCCTCTTCCACAGGAGCAGGGTTTCTAAACACAGATGCACACACAGTCAGAAGAGATATATACATTTTATTTATTCTCTCTCTCATTTAGGTGTATTTATTTATTATTTATTCTCTTTCACACACCGTAGCTTGAGGGAGGCGTAGCGGAGAGTTGCGCCTTCGAACTCTTTCAGACTAGGGTCAGGGTTTACTGTGGCCGCCTGTAGATCCTGAAGCAGAGATAAAGCAGACGTGCTTAAACACAAGCATATAGCAAACCCACAAATGTACAGCATGGAGCCAGTGGGTTAAGTGCAAAGATCTGTGTGTATGTGCAGATCACGCCAAACAAAACAGGAAAGCACAGTTCCTGCGATGAGTGATTAAACTAATTGAAATGAAAATGATTAACCAGTTTTAAAACAGACACAGTTTGAACCCTGCACATTTTACAAAAATAATGGATTAAGACGATGAGAAGAAATGAAGAGTGAATAGGAGCTTTCCTGCTGCAAAAATAATTTTCTTAATCAGCATTAAAATATCTAAATGCATAAATTAATAAATAAATAGTGTAAGCATTTGATTTATCAATGCTTTATTCTCATCTGCAAGGTTTGTTGTGTATATCCAAATATACTTAAAACAAGATCAATTTCCATGACAAGCAAAAATTGCATAATATATTAAGACTAGTTTTCAGTCATTTTTTTCTCACCCCCTTTGCAATAGATTTTTTTTAAGCATAATACTAACAAAATTTAGTGAGGTTTATGCTTAAATCAAGAAAAAAAAATTTGCCATATAGGTTAGAAAAATTAATTTAGTTGGATAAATTATTTTTGCAGTACAGACAGACAAAAAAACACAAAAGCCATGCTCAGTAGAAAGGTTAAAGGTCAAAAGGTGAGGAAGGTATGAAGCAGTACTGGATCTCAGAACACAACTACTCCAGTAGAACATCAGGTAGACCAACGTTTCTCAGAATTTTTATTAAAAATAATGCAAAATACATCTGCAAAATATGGGCCAGCCAATGGGCAAAAAATACATTTTGAACCCTGTGAAGAACATAACCAAGTGTTGACAGTGGTTGCCTGAGACATTCTACTTTGTATTTGGCTCTGCAGTTCAATAAAAAAACCACCCGAGATACTAACCTTCCAGATCTCACTATCAATCTTTCCCAGTGCAAAATCACTCCATGGCTGTTTCTTCACCATTATTCACACACAAACAGGGAGGACCAGGTTGAGGGGTCAAGAGTGGGAGGGTGGAGAGAGACAAGACAGGGTTGTTAGATCACTCGATAAGCATGTGTGTGTGTACAGTATCTGTTGGGTGTTTGGTTGGGATTTTATTAGATGCAGTATGGATGTTGATATCTCACTCTATGTTGCAAGAATCAGAGGAAAGCACAAACTGTTTTTCCACTACATTCTGAGAGTAAACAAGCATTACTGTTACCTTGTCCTCTTCCCGATGGCGTGCCTCAGAGTGTCTATCCTTCCCTGACATTATCTGTAGGGATGAGGACCGAGGCTATACACACACACACACAAATAGATACATAGTTTTAGTATTATTATGTGTGACCAACTTCTAACTAAATATCACAATATATTTATATTTGTCAATACAATTTATACTACAGTTCAAAAATTTGGAGTAGGTAAGATTTTTTGGAAAAAAAAAAATAATACATTTATTCAGCAAGGATGCATTATATTGATTAAAAGTGACTGTAAATGCTGTTCTATTAATCAAAGAATTGAGAAAAATGTAATATATATAATAAATATAAATACATATTAACATGGAAAACAGTTATGTTATGTTGTAATAATATTTTTCAATATTACTGTTTAACTGTATTTTTGGTCAAATAAATGCAGCCTCGGTGTGCATGAGACTTCATTCAGAAAACAATAAATAAAAAATCTTACTGACCCCAAATTTAAATGGTATTTTCACAATATTCCAGTTCAACAACATGAAATTCAACAGCAACATGGTTTATATTTTAATAACCATTTGGCAATACTTTTATTTTTGGATATTCCAATTGATTGCAAGTGACAAAAAAATAAAATTCTTCTCAATTGATTAGTTTCTCTTTTTTTGTGGACACAAAAAAAATCAAATAAGTCATGTTACTAACCTAATAAGATTTAGTTTTGATTTAAGAAGTCAACTGAAAAGAACAGACAAAACAAAATCTGGCAAGATGCATGTCTTCTTTTGTTCAGTTATTCAGTAGCACATTGCCATTTTAAAACAAACAAAACCGTGTGAAGTGCTGTCAACCTTGCTTCGTTTCATGCTGCAGCAAACAGCAAAACTGTAAAGCACACTAAGACTCAAAGGACCAAAAAGAGATTCAAGCCCAATGTTAAGGCCAGGAGCAATTTAAAAGACTCTAGATATTTATTGATATGCATGTTCATTCAGTTTCATTCATCTAGTAAGGTCTTTCATACATCTGATTTGAAAAAATAGCTGATAAAAAAATCTAAATGGCTGGTAAATTTCACCATTCACCAGTCACCGTTTCTGGTGGGCGAACACATTAATTTCCCAAATACAATCATAGCAACCTTTAACTATATAAAGCATTTGACCAGCTCTGTTTAATTCATGGCAACTGAAATACTGTCACATCTGTAATGGCGTTACCCTGGATTTTCATGCTTTTATGAACTATAAGTTTGTGTCTTATCCACTTTATTCTCCACAACCAAATTGTACTCATTGTGAAAGCTATACACCCAGAGAATGGCAGGATGTGACCATAAAGTATTGTCCGTACTGTAAGATGAGACATTGATGAAAAGACTTACAAAGTAGCAGCTGTTGACGAATCCACAGGAAGGAACATTGCCGTCAGAGGATGAAGAAGAGTTTGAGGACAGGATAGGGGTTGGTTCCAGACATGAAGAAGACGGGATGGGGGCGGGGTCAGACGAGCTGTCAGAAGTGGTGCTGCCTGAACGACTAGATGCTTCGAAAAACACGTGGGCGTGAGACATCGACTAGAGGACAACAAAGAGGTACCGAGCAAATGATTGGTCAATGTGGATAAATCAACTGTTGTTTTGTTTTAGTTGAGTACCATGTCCAGTTAGCGTAACCACATGGTTTCAAAGGGTTACCTCGTGGTCTGGAGTGGGCGAGGGTGACAGGGAGCCCAGGGAGTGTTTGCGGCTGGCATGGCTGGGTCCAGTTGGCACCGGATGGCATGGGGTGGGTCTCTCCCACTGCGTGGTGCCTGTAGGAATGTGCCAGTAATAAATGCCAGCCATGTCTGTCATCATCTTCCATCCTGGAGGCAAATCAGGGTCTGTCTGAAATGACTGCTCCCCCCAGATATCTGGAAACACAAATACACAAGGTCAGGCGTGGTCCACACACCCATCAACCAAGATATCCAAGACTCCTATGAGTGGGTGTTATGACCAAAACCTTGTATGACGGCATGAGTCATTTTAAAACACGGTATGTATCAGCATACAACAATTCTGGTACTCTAACCTGAATCTGAACAGCGTTCCAAGAGTGTTGATGTATAGTTTAACAACTAGGGCTGCCCCCGACTAAATATTTTTCTAGTTGACTAATCACATGTTTATATGAATTTAATTACTTAAATATATATAAATATAAATATATAGCCTATTCCGCTCTCAAGCTCACGCATAAAGCTTGCAGCAAGGCACCGTCAAAAGTAATGACTATGAATGTGTCGGAAATATCGAGGAAACATTTTAATTATTTATTAATAAACTTGTGTTTTCTGACTCAGTGTCGGCTGCAAAGATGAAGTTGACGATGCTCACTTGCCAGCTTTCATACGGATTACATAATCATCAGAGTTTTTGTTTTTGATTTGAATTTGTTCTTTAGATCTATTTCTCACATAGTAGCCTATACAGTTTCGGTTCATTTTTGTGACACGCTCCAGTTCACAAAAACCGAGACGGCAGAAAGCACATACTGTTTATTTTCTTTATACGTTTATATTCTTTATTTTACAAAAGCACAATGTTTTGCTGATATTGTAAGTGTATACAAATAAAAGTTGACCTTTTACAGTTTCGAATGATGTATTACTCTTATCTTTATGAGCAAAAATGACGGTGTATATATATTGGTACTGGTCAATAATTATCGATACCGAACGATATGAAACATTATATCATTGATACATTTTTTAGCTATATCGCCCAGCCCTACCATGTAGTTTTCAAATAAGCCTGAAGGCCTTGATTAGTTGGATCAGGTGCGTTTAATTAGGGTTGAATCTAAACTGTGCAGGGCTCCGGCCCTCCAGGATTTGAGTTTGACACCCCTGATCTAGAGTGACGTAAAAGTCACATGAATTGTGATATGACTGTTCAGACTGCGGTCGCATTGCAAAACATCTGACCTGTATCAGATTTAGAGATTTAGGCTACGTTCACACTGCAGGCAAATGTGACCCAAATTATGATTTTTGAAAAAGATTTTTTTTGTTCACATGTGACTCAGATCTGTTTTTCTCATGACAGTGTGAACAGCACAAACCACATGAAATCTGATCTTTTCAATTCCGATTTGTGCCACTTCCATATTTGGTACTAAATCCGATACAGGTCAGATGTTTTGTAATGCGACCGCAGTGTGAACAGCCATATCAGAATTCATGCGACTTTTACGTCACTCTAGATCAACCTTCGTCACGATTCTGCGCTCATGGGAGTCACTTCAAAGATTTTACACACCCAAATCAAGACAGTTGCGAAAGGTAGTCAGTGGAAGTACAGTGATGTGTCAGAACTCATAAGTATTGCAGTGACAACTCTATATACAAGCAAAACATGAGGGCTCGTATCATAAAAGTTTCAATGCTCTCTTCTGTCACATCCTTGTCTTTATTTTTCATATTGCCTGTGCATAATTTCGCTGGCTTTTGCGGCAGATCACACTATAAATAAACGCATAATCACTTACTTTATGTCCTCCGTGTTTACTTCCGTATGACAATGCGCTGCGCAAGTGTTGCAAAGTCCAAAGTTTTCCCGTGAAATTGGGCTACTTTTTCATCTAAAAACAACCCACGGGGGTTGTTTTTCAACTCTGTGGGTTAAAGCGATCCCACTAACGCGATCTGGGGGTAAATCGGATCTGAGCAAAAATTGAGCACTAAAGCTCCCAGTGTGAACGTAGCCTTAGTACCACATATGGAAGTGGCACAAATCGGAATTGAAAACATCAAATTCCATGGGGTTTGTACTGTTCACACTGTCATAAGAAAAACAGATCTGAGTCACATGTGAGCAAATAAAATCGGATATGGGCCACATTTGCCTGCAGTGTGAACGCAGCCTATAGACACCTCAGTCTTTAGGAAGTGTCGATCAACAGTAAGTACTTTTTGTACGCTTTTGTACAGTCATGGCTACAAACTCTTTCTCCGTCTCCTTACACTCATATTTTGAATGTGATATTTTGGCCAGAAAGAGAAAACATGAAATAAAGTTAAAGATGAATTTGACTGATAGCATTATTTTTTCCTCAACATTTATACAGATAGTATTGTTATTGTGAATTCTTTTGGCCACAATAATTATATAGTTAAAATCTGATATTGTGACAGCCCTAGTTCATAGCATTCCAGACCAGAGCATGTGAGCGGTAGTGATAAGTCTATAAATCTAATATTATATAGATCGTTTTGACTCTAAATTCTGATCAGATGAGCCACAGTGAAGTTGAAACATTGCTACAGTTGCCCAGCCAGTCTCCCAACATATGGACATTTCAAGCGGCAACCAAATCATTAAAACTGCTGAAGTCTAGATAAGGAGTCACTTCATCCTTGTGTGTTTCTGTGAGATATGAGTGCCCTGTAATACATTAAATAGGTGTTTTTTTTTTTTTTTAAACTGGAAGACTATCATACTGTAAAATCTCTGTCTCTCTCATGTGAACTCGCTACTGTTCTGTCTGTCCTCACTCAGCAGCTGGGAATGTTTGTTTCATGTTTCAGATGTTAGTAAGAGCATTATTCACACAATGCAATCTGGGTGAGGAAAACCGCACATATACACACAGTAAACCACTGCATTCTGTTACTCACACATATGCTGAACAGATTCAAGCCAGGAAACACGTCCTCACCAAAACCATTGCTTTATAATATTAAAGAGCCATAATATTCAGCGTGTGTGTGTTTAAAAAAACTCTAAAGAGATTCTCAAAAGACCTTGTGTCAATCTACATGACACTCCACAAAATGAATAACTAACAACTGAAGAAAAAATTAACTGACACCGTGTAATAACTAGCTGGGACACAAATAATAAAATCTGTACTGTTGGTTTATAGACTTTCCTACTCATTCTCTTTATATCCCCTACTACACAGTATGCAAAAATCTGTATGTCAAATGAGACGGATGTCTGAATACTCAGTATTGCATCTGCTAAGATTCTTAAGTATACAGCCAGTGGACACTTTGTATCCCATCATGTCACGGAAGTCAAGGAACTATTAGATTTAAAAAGTTATTAAAAACAATGCCGGAAAGTGTTAAGTGTAATACTAGGTACCAAGACAGTTGTTCCTCATTTGTTGACTTGTTGAAGGTCACAAAGGTCAAAGGACAGAGCAAACATTGTGGTTGGAGTATGTCTGGGAATCACTCTGTGTAGCCCCACCCACAATGAAATCTCATTGGTCTAAAATCCTGCTCCACATAGCACAAATATTGGCTGTAAATTCACTTTCAGTGTCAATATAAAAGTAACTTGTGGCTGGAAACCTGTCTGGATAAAACACGGTAAAAGGATTAAAGTGAAAAACTTTCAAATTATGCTGTTTAATCACCAAGGGTGCAGTCAGATTTACTGTTATTCATCGAATTTTTGCAGGTGAAATCCAGTCATTTCAGTAGGAATCCACATGTAGATTTCAGGATCAAGTTGATCACGCAAATTCGTCGCATTGACGCATTGGTTTGAAAGTGACTTATGTGAGTGGTGCTTCATAAATCGCTACACTATTGACAACAGTTTTCATTTACAAGGTATATAAAACAAATAAAAACGTGTAAAATGAAATAATTTCTTTAAAATCACCAAATTATATGAGCAAGTAACAAGTGTTTTTTTTATTGAGATACTAGTTTTTATTAATACTTTTAATGTGTTTTTCCCCACTTCCGTTTTAGTAACTGTGTGTGTTTTTTGTCATTTTTTTTAAATGCCTTTATAGTTTTATAGTTAATTATATAGTTTTATTAAACAGTTTTAGTTTGTTATTTTAGTTCAACTAAATGAACCTTGGGGCAACTAGCTGAAATTAAAAAAAGTTTAGCTTTTTTATATTTTATTTCAGTTAATATTCATTTTCTTTAAAGTCACAAATACAGAGTTCTGGCATGAAACTCTAGATGGCGCAGTCTGATAGGTCTAACTCAATCTGACCTAATGACATCATTATCACATGGCACAGCTGATTGGTTCTCTCCTGTATCAGTAGCCAATGAGCTCGCTGCTCAACATTCAAATATATGACTATTGCTTGCCGTAGCAGTTGCAGCTTGCTTCAGAAATCCTCCACCTTCCCCAGCTCCACCTGTATAGATCTGCTACGAGGTGATTCATGTATGCTATATGGGGGTTATTTCATGTATGTTATATTTGCAGCAGCAATATTTCTTACATGCTTGTTGTATTGGCAGTAGCAAGTCTCGGTACTTGCTCTGCCACAGCAGCAGCAGCAGCAGCAGCGTAGCAGATCTATTCCGCCAAGACCAAATACATTAACATTGTCATGTACATTATCATGCCAATCCCAATAAGAGTTGTCATGACAGAAATGTTTTTATGAATTTATTTTTAGCTAACTATAACAACAATGTGAGTAACTTGTTCAGGCAGGAAGCACGAGTTGAGTAGCCTCACTGTTGCTTCAAGGCACAACTCACTTTAGTGAGACTTAATAATTAGCCAACAGAACTAAGTGAAACAGCAATTAGCCAGCACTAGTCATGTACACTAATCAAATCTCCCAGCATGCTAAGTGAACACAAGTGCTTATTAGAGATATCTCCTCTACCCAAATTCTCTCGATGAGGCACTGCAGTACAGGAGCCGTAGTTTATTTTTAAAGTCCTCATGAAATCAAAATTGACTTTATTTACTTAGTGCACATTGTTAGTCTTGAGGTGAACAATTAATCTGTGCAAGTTAATCCACTGAAAAAAAACATTTGTTTGTCTTGGTAATCTTTAATCAAAATCTGAATAATTGCTTCCGTTCTGGAATGGCAGTCATTCTCTGATGGGGTCAGTTTGACAGCTTGGGAAAAATATCCTTAACCACGCTTATGAGTTAGAGACAGAGAGGAGGAGCACTAAAATAAAGCCCCGCCCTATATTCAATATTCCGTTTCAGTTGGAAGTACGTCACCACGCTGAAATAAAGTCGGCAGCAACTTCCAGTTCACGCGGACTTTAAATACTGGGTATTATGCTGAGGTGCATTATAGGACTTGTAGTCCCTGATATATAAGTGGGTCATTACAGCTACCTGAAAACCTCATCGCAGTTCTCCGAGACAATGAAACCTTCATACAGATTCAAATACAAAGAAATAGAGACAACAATCAGGTTTATGTTTAATAACTGTGTCGATTTTTTAGCAAAAATAACATCAAGTTCATTTTTTAATGCACAGTTAGACAGCGTGCTAGCATGTTGTAACTATCCTCAGCCTAGTTTTCCACGCTAGATCTAACATTCGACCCACTTTTGATAACGTCTTTCTCTTTCTGCAGTCTAGAAAGCATGTGGCGGGCAGAGGGGGAGGGGAGGACAGCTGAAAAATTCACGCACACACGCGAACCGAAGTGCCATGAACATATGCACAAACTTCAGTATTCAGCACACAGCTCGTGACACCCTTCACTGCATCCTCCCTCCTTCCTAATCTCTCTTCTCCGCCTGCATTTATGAGCATGCACACGCAACAGAGACGCGTAGCTACATGCGCAGCACTGACTCACAGCCACACAGACACACCGACGCGCAGTACCTACCCTCGTAATTCACTATAACAATGGCCAACATGTAGTCTTTACCCAGCATCATGACTGAGCAGCCGCAAGCAGAGAGGATGTCATGAGAAGAGAGAGGAAAGCAGAGGTAGAGCTGGAGAGACAGAGGGGGCGAGCGACTGATGGAGAAAGGGAGAGGGAGAGACGGGGTGGGTGAGCATGCGAGAGCAACAGACTCTGTTTATTTGCCGTTTATTTTTTATCCAAATCTTGCAGGAAGAGAGATATCAGCTTCCTGTCCATCCGGGACACCTGATTGGTCACACGGCCGCGCAAACATACCTCCCTCGCCCAACGATCATCACCCCGGCAACCCTGAGATCATTTTTCCTGCAGTGTCACCCGACGTGTGGTCACGTGACCTTGGTATGACAAGATACAGAAACCGTGGGAGAGGGATGGATGTGCAAGAATTAGTGCACATAACAGTCTGCTGCGGTGATGCCAGCTAACATCTGGGTATAAAACCAGGTCGCAGCTGTCCATTAACCACCATGCTGGCCGAACAGACCTGCCACACACCTGTGAGGTTTTCCTGTCTACAATGAGAGAGATTTTGACAGACACTATGTCAATGGTAGACTGGTTTGAGTGACAGTCCGGGGGCAGAGGAGACATTCAGCACCATTTATCCTTGTTATAAACTTGGGTTGCATGTACCAAAAGTGACTATTCACCCCAAAATAAAAACTATTTACACACTCTCATGTCATTCCAAACCGGTGTAATTTTTCTTCTGTGGAACACAAAAGGAGATATTTTGATGAATGTTGATGCTGCTCTTTTCCTTTTCCTTTTATACAGTAAAAGTAGACACTAAGCACATTTCGATGCACAGTTATAATAACAATAGCTGCATAGTCAAATTGCAGTCTTCTTCTGTCTGTCTAAGCATACATGACAATGTGTAATTTAATATTTTACAGATAAAATACGTCACGCTACACCCCTGCCACCTGTAGTGCAATTAACTTGCGATTAACATGTTGGATGACACAAAGCTACAGTTGCATTATCTAGGTCTGTCAGTCCATTTAGTCAAAAAAAAAATTAATTATGTTTTAATCCAACTGAAATCAGACACTTACCAGTAACCAGTGCCTGTCAAACTTCAAAAAAGACAAAAAGCACCATACAAATAGTTCATATGAATTGTGAGCTATAGTCCCACCCTGCATTCAAATATGGCTACTTCCTTACTATCCAGTAGGCGAAAACTGTATGTGAAAAGTGTAGTATGTCCAAATTCATAGTAATCACAAAGGGGAAAGTACCTCGATGATGTACTACTTCCATTGAGATTACAAAGTGCGCTCTCTTGGCCTCATTCATACTTATTCAAAAGAAGAGAGTATTCGATTTTGGACGCAACCCTAGTCTTGCAATAAATTTGCGTGAGGAACAGATACATTTAAAGGGCTAGTTCACCCAACAAATGAAAATTCTGTCATCATTTACTCACCCTCATGTCATTCCAAACCCAAAAGACTTTTAATATCTTCATCAAGTAAGAATGTTTGAGCTTCTGCTTCTCATCTTTGATGTGCTCTATGTATTTGAGTTGATCAATGTTTATATGTCAAATTAAAACTGTTATATAAACTTTTATGGATTAAACCATTCTATGCATATGGATTGTTTTTACGATGTCTTTATGAACTTTTTGATGCTTCGAAATTTTGGTTGCATGGACTTTCAGTGGAGGGTCTTACAGTTTGTGTTTTATGTGTTTGGAACAACATGAGGGTTAGTAAATGAGTGAACTGAGGCCCCGTCCACACGGAGACGCGTTTAGCTGTATACGCATACATTTTGTATCGTATAGGCGTTTCGTCCAGATGGATCCGGCGTTTTGGGAGAGTGAAAGAGTGGATAAATCTATAAATTTGGATTTGGATAAATTTATCCAGAGTGGATCAATCTGAAAACGCCGCCCTTGCGTTTTCGTGTGGACAGCGAATCCGTATATTTTCTGAAACGATGACGTCATCAGCCCACGTCTCGCCCCTAGTCAGACACCGCTACGTCACGTAACAGCAACAAAAACATGAACAAACACTGAACGATTGTCTTTTTATTAACTAACATTAACACAGATTAATAAATGTATTGTTCCATGTTCGTTTGTATACCGCACGCAAGGTTTATCCACATAGTTCAAGTCTTCTTCTCCATTTTTAGTGTATCTCTGTGGCAGAATTACAGCGCCAGGACGTAGCCTAAGCCTTTAAGTCATTAATCACTGAAAATCACTCACTGCAACTCTCAAACTCTCAGAAGTTACAAATCTCTCAAAATCTTTTTTTGTACTTTTTTGAGCTTTATAGCTCCTGGTCACTGTCCACTTTCATTATATGGAAAAGAGCAGCATGGACATTCTGTACAACTTCTTATTTTGTGGTTCACATCTTACAGGATTTGGAATAACATCAGAGAGAGTAAATGATGACAAAATTTGAATTTTTGGATGAATTATACTGCTTCAAAAACATTTTCAGTTAACAATTTTTACACAAAAAAAAGGTACACATAAATAAACACAGTAGTAAACACGCTTTTGATAAGCTTTCCTCCACAGCCTCAAACCAGACACACACTGTGCTGCGTTTACCTAGATCACACTTCAGTGAAATGAAAAGTCTAAACACACAAACACCTTTCTACCAAAGCACTTCAGTCAAACTGAAAACCACACATACCACATGAGTGCACCATATCCACTACACAGGGCCAAAGCACACACACGAAACCACACTGAGCAGACCAGCAAGCTACACACATACAAATCGTAAGGCTTCAAATGTGTACTACTGACCGCTCTCTTCTGGTGAGCCCAGGGATGCACTGTCCTGTGACAACGTGGTCCAGCTGGACTCCTCGTCACTGTGTGGAAGGTTCTGGATGCGGTTTAGTGCCCGGTCTGTCTTGGCTCCCGTCCGTGGTCTGTCTTTTTTCGTCTCCGGTGAGGAAGAGGAAGATGAAGAGCCGATAGACAGGAGGGGCGTGTCCTCAGGGCTGTGCGGTTTCCTTGGAGACGAGGGACAGGGATTCTTCTCTTTCTTCAGCAAAGGCTTAGTGACATTCTCATCCTGCGTGTCAGACAGTTCGTATGACAGGTCATCCAGGCATGACTCCAGGTAACTCTTGGTCTTAATATGCTCGGGCGACTTCCTGTCTGAAACAATCTCCGTTTTCTCGGACAGAATGAGCAGGTCGTCACAATTCTCCACGCGATCCTCCTCATTAGCGTCATCATCAATTAACTCATTTATTTCCTCGTCAACAAGCTCGTTGTTCTGGTCAAAGTCACTGTGAACGTCGTCAGCGTTAGACTTGCTGTCGAGGCTGAATTCCTCAACATTCCTCAACTCATCGTCGATGCTGAGCTCTGATTCGCCAGCTGTGTTTCCATCTTCGTCTTCTTCGGTAGTGTTCTTGTTGTGATCCTGTCGCTCCGCAGCTTTACGTAACTGATTCACACCATTTTTGGCCAGTTTAGTAGTCGCTGAAGATGACGACGGTGGCGTCACACCTTCGGAGAGTCCCATCGCACTCTGAATGCTCGTGAGTGCATATTTCTTCCGGCACTTCGGGGGCGTGGCCTGGCCCTGTTTGATGACATCACCACTAAGCAGTTGATTGTGTGAGGAATGCAGGCTGAGGGATGTGGGCGGAGTTGCAGAGGATCTGTTGCAATTAGCTACATCCACAGAGGGGGAGGAGTTACGTGGTGAGGGCACGCAGACTGACATCATGGCTAAAGTGAGGAAAAGGGAAAAAGCAGTCAAAAATCACACATAAAAACAGTGCATTCCACATCAGAGAGAAGTACAAAAATGTAAAAAGTTCAAAAATTGAACACAAATATTTCCAATATATTTCTTAGTTTTTAATCTAAGCTGAACTCAGTCATTTTTGGTTGAGCGCCTCTATTTACCGAACTAAAGCTGCATTTTTATCAAAGTTTAAAGCCCTTGCTTTTTTCCAGATTTTGATTGACAGATGAGTAGGTGGCTTGTCGCGGTTGGTCAGGACGTGTCAAGACAGATCAAGTGTAAAAGGGGTCAAAGAAACCAATTTAAGTAATGTGAATCAACATCGACATGTGGCTCACCCATAATTTCCTTTATTAAATGTGAAGGAACATAAAAAGATGATAAAACTGCAGATAGATCGGCACTAGGACAGAATCTGCAATGACGTTCATGAAAAGCTTATTTGTCTTTGCTCAAGCAGCTCTGCAGACTGTGCTGCTTCTGTGCTACCAAACCGAATTACCACATTTTAAATCAACTTAATCTGACGGAATTGAATGCGATTATAGCTGATTTACAACCCAGTGCTGCATACTATGATGCGATTGGGTGGAAAATTAAATCAGGTTCATGCCAAAAGATGAGCTGATTTTTGCCAACGCTCAAAGAGTGATTCATAGAGACACTACATGCACTAGGAAAGAGGATGTAACCAATCACACCCAACATATTACATAAAGACAGATGGACACAAACCGGCCTCCAGACTGTGACTAAAAAAAACACAAATTTGAGATTTAATTATTATTTAAAATCTAGTCACCATTGGCAACAGTAGGGAACACTTTATATGCCTCCACATTAATTTAATCAAATAACATCTTGTGATGAGTCAGGCATCATACTCATCCAGTGAATTTAGAGCTGTTACTGAATAACTGATTTCCTCACAGAACTGAATCATTTTTCAGCTATGTCTGATATTAAATTAACTGAGAACTGAGAATGTGTACTTTAGGTTTGTCAGACTTTATATCAATATACTAACTTGTTAATATAACAACTTAACGTAATTAAAGATACAGATTCACAAAAGAGTTTTACTGTAATAAAATAATGGTAACACTTTACAATAAGATTTCATTTGTTAACATTAGTTAACTACATTAGTTAACATGATTTAGCCATGAAAAATACTAACAATTACCGCATTTATTAATCTTAGTTAATTTACTAATACATTTTTAAGATCAAAAGTTGTATCTGTTAACATTATTTAATGCTCTGTGAACTAACTTTGCTCATTAGTTCAAGTCAGTTAATGCTTTAAGTAATGATAACGAATTAAACCTCATTGTAAAGTGTTAAAAAAAATACTAAATGGTATCCTAAAAACATATTATTAATATTAAATCATCTATAGAGCGGATATGCAAAATGGCAACTGAAAAAGCAGTCAGTCTCCTATAAGGTTATTTTTAATAGCCATTGGCTCCCTAGTAGATTTGTTTAGTGTGGTGCTCTGCACAAATCATATCCTGACTTGTTAGAGGGCTGTCTGACCTTGCACAGGTTTTCTCGTTGAGCCGGAGACACTGCCAATGTAAATCTGCAACAAAAAAAAAGAATTAAATCATCTTCTTTTATCGTCTGGTGCATAGAGGACCATCCACAAACACATGCATGCAAATGCAAATATTATGAATTCAATATAAGCTCTAGCTGTTGTGTATTAATTCACAATTGCTAATTTATAGCTTTAATTTGAGTTTTGTAAAGCACAATGCATCATATCTGTATAAAAACAAAGGTAAACATGTTCCATTCGAGCAGGCAATCATACTCACCAGGGAGCTGAGGATTGTGGGTATTTCCACAGAGCCTCCTGGGCCATGGTATAGAATCAGCGCATCATCAAGATTTCGGCCAATCAGCACAAGCTGAGTATATCACCATGGAAGCACTCAAGAAATCTGTTCTGAACACAATAAAAATTATGATTAGAAAATAGACAGCATGTGGACATTTTTACTTAATGTTTTTTCATTACATCCATCCTTCAGCTAAGGTTAGTGATGTGTGAGTGAGTGTGTGTGTGTGTGGATCTCTTTAGGGACATCTCCTGCTGTGTGTGAAAACAGCATGGGGTGGAAATATGCATCTGGAGGACAATGACAAAAATAACTGTCAGTGTGGGGGCACAAACAGAAACACACACTCAATCTCAAGGGGAATCACCTATCCGTCGTGAATGAGAATGAAATCATTTTTCACTGCACAGATCAAAGGGCATTGATGTCTAAATATTACAACCAAAAATAACTAGGGCTATGTCATATATCAAGTATTTGTGATGTTTCACTAACAATGTAAAATTAAGCAGCATCCTAAACGATTTTAACACTTTTTATTTGGCCATTAAGTTTCCTAAAGAGTATTTCATTAGACTGGCTTCATGATCCTTCCCTGTATCATTGACATGTATGTGTGATAAGAAAAATGTTTTAATAGCTTGAGCATCTCTCATTTAAATGTCAGTTAATACATACACACACACACACATATATATATATATATATATATATATATATATATATATGCACAGTACACACACTGTATATGTTGTAATGCAATAAATCAATTATGTAAATATTATATATATATATATTTAATTGGTTCTATTCATTTCACTCATTTCAAACTATGCATGCAATTTATATTAAAATTATATTAAAATAAATTTACATTGTTTTAATTTTAAAAAATGTGTAAAAAAATAAATAAAATTAAATATAACTATGCATATTTTAATGCTGCATATAAATGGTTCAATATATTTTCTTCTGTTCATCAAGTGAAAATCAGTGAAAAATATTTCCACATAAAAATACGGTTTACTTCAATGACTCTTTGGTTAAAATTAAGGGTTCTCTGACTGAAAAAATGACCTTAAGTCATTTCAGAGAAAATACATAAATATTTTATATATATAGAATATTGACAAAAAGTTGACAAATATTAAGATATTTTATATAACTCAGCTGTAAAAATGACAAGAGGGTTTGATTTAGGATGGGAGAAAGTATGGCAGACAAGATAAGCACTGAGATTTTGATTCAGTTTGTCATTTTGTATCCATGCATAAACTAGACCAGAAAACAAACAGAAGTAGAGCAGTTCAGTGTGTGTGACAGTGTGGTGAGCTTTAATTAGAGATGTCCGACTGGTGGCTAACCTCACTGAGATTGTCTATATTTCATCAATCCCTTAAAATCCATTAAAAGTCCACACAACCTAAAATTTTATGCATCAAAAAGTACAAAAGGACATAAGAACTGACCAGTTTAATCCAAGCCTTCTGACGAGACATGGCTGCTTTATATGATTAACAGATTTAATTTAGGCTATTATGCATATACCCACATTGATCAACACGCATACACAGAGCTTACACCATGTATTTTTGTACTTTTTGATGCATGACACTTTCAGTTGCATCGGCTTTTTAAAGGGTTAGTTCACCCAAAAATGAAAATTCTGTCATTAATTACTCACCCTCATGTCGTTTCAAACCCGTAAGACCTTCGTTCTTCTTCGGAACACAAATTAAGATATTTTTGATGGAATCTGAGAGCTGTCTGACCCTGCATAGACAGCAACACAACTGAAATGTTCCCAAGTCCAGAGACGTAGCAAGGAGATCTGTAAAATAATCCATGTGACATCAGGGGTTCAACCGTAATATTACGAAGCTACGAGAATACTTTTTGTGCGCAAAAAAAAAAAACCCGACTTTATTCAACAATTCGTCTCCTCCGCATCACCCTAGTGCCATTTTGGAGAGTATCAGCTGGATGTAAACAGCATATGCTGTTCTGATTATTTTACAGATCTCCTTGCTACGTTTGAAACCACATGAGGGTGAGTAATTAATGACAGACTTTTCATTTTTGGGTGAACTATCCCTTTAATGGATGAACGAAAATATTGAGAGAATATTTAAAATATCCTCATTTCATTTCCGAAGATGAACTCAAGTCTTACGTTTTGGAAAGATAATATCATTCACATTCTTGGGTAAACTAACATTTTAAAAGTGCTTTTCAAGTAATAACATTTTAAATTTCTGTTTGATTCTCAGACAAAGCTATTGAAAGGCTTCCGAAGACTCGGAGCGCAGCATATGAGCCACGTTGAATACTTTTATGGTACTTTTATAGTACTTTTATAGTATTTTTGTCTTTTTAAAGGTTGGCAGTATAAATCATCACCACTTTCCTTACATAAAAAGAGCAGCTCTGGTATCCCGATTTAACATTTGATTTTGCGCTGAAGAATAAAATAATGGCATAAAGGCACTTGGTGATGACAATTTTCATTCTGTTTGAACTATTTGTTTCACAACAATAATGTAATTCACATTCTATAAAATAAAACCTTTCAAAGCTCTATTGTTTGGAAAATTATTCCCGCTATTGTTCCCTGGAATGTGCGTTACGGAATATTATTGCAGCAACTGACACTTCAGAGAGGACAGAATCCATCCACAGAAAGCTGCAGCCAGAATACACACACACACTAAACAGAATGAAACACACATTTATAGCTCAGTTCTTTTCCACTCCTAAATTCACTTAAAGAAATGAATTCTGCAGCACTTAGAACAGACAGAGTTTGGCATGTGGACACAACAGCTATAATCACAACACACACACCCTCAAATCCACTGGAGCCTTTACGAGGAGCAAAAAAGCAGGAATGTGAGGGAAAAATTAAGAATTCTTGGCATGTCATTTTCAGGAGGCTTTAATTACCCATCTGAGAAAAACACATTACACTCTTCTTTCATACACACACACACACACACACACACACAAATATACCTGTATCTCTGCAGGAAGAGGTGCTTCTCACATTCAGATGAGGTTCCTACCTGCAAAACAGAGAAACAGACAGTTAGTTTGTGAATTAACAGTGTGTGTGAGTCACATTAACTCAATATCATTCAACAGAAATGCCAAAGAAAGCATCAAGAATCAACAACTAAATACAACACAGACGCTGATTGACAGTTTTAGCAGCTGAAAATAAAAAGTTAAACAAACCACACAGAACAGGAGTAAATGTGACCTGCTGAATAATCCAACTGTGCAAATCAAAAATAGAGAGCACAGTTCTGTGAAGCACATCCCGCTGAGCGTGAGAGAAAGCGAGGGAGACGCTTGTGCTCCCAAACAGGCGGACTGGTTAGATTAAAGGACATTTATTTAGCTGCAGAAACAGGGAGGAACATATAGTCGAGTCGGAGTTAACTGCTGCTCATAACTGCACATCTCTCTGCCCATGCCATAAAAGTGCATCCAATCAGTGTCATGGAAGAAAAAAACAAACAAAAATGCACATAAACATATACACACAAAAACACAGATGAATGCTGGGAAAAGGGCAAATCAAGATCATATTTCAGAGAGACACGCACACACACAAGGCTTCATATCAAAGACTTGCTTTCCAGCACATTGCACTGTGAAAACAGCTGCCAAATGACATAGAAGAAAAAAGGGAGGAAAAGAAAGAGAGATATTGAGAACGAGTCCAAAAGGCAACAGAAAGGAAAAAAAAAGAAAGAGAAAACCCACGGCACTATGGGTTTCAAATATAATATACATTATATTACAATAATTCATTTGCTCACATTGCTCACATAAAAACCATTTTTTAACTAGTGAAAATACTAGTGTTACTACTACTACTAATAATAATATAATAATAATAATAAATAATAATAATTTTGGCCACCACTGTATATATATATATATATATATATATATATATATATATTACAGAATTTATGAATCTTTATCTATATTAGTAAAAACAATTGTTCAATGTTTGTTCATGTTAGTTTAAAGTGCATTGACTAATATTAACAGATACAACGTTCAATATTAAATGCAGTACTTGAAGCTTTGTTCATTGTTAGTTCATTCTAGCATATTTAACTAATATTAACAAATGGAACCTTACTGTAAAGTGTTCCTTATAACTCCATATCAAGAAGTGTTTCATTTGGGTCTGCTTTACTTCTATTTTAAGAGACACATCTGAGACAAAGCTGATGAATCAGGGCTCCAGAATGCATTTGCGACCAAAAATATTAATTTGTGTGTGATATTTTTGCTGAGATCGCCACTGCCGACTATACAAATTTACATTATGATTTAAAAAATTGCATGTAATGCCTTTTTTCCAGATTGTTTTTGCGACCACATCTTTTGTTAGTTTAACGTAATAAACTGAGACGATGCGCATCAAAGTTTTAGTGGAAAAACAGTCAGTTGTGCAAAAAAAAACCTACAAAGAGGAGCATTTTGCTAAATATATGCGCTATATTGCATATTCATATTTTTACTTAACCTGTTCTCTACATAAGAAAGAATGCAAGGAGCTAAAGATAAAATTCAGCACCTCCTATATAAAAGCATGATACTAATGAAGACAAACAGACTGGATGTGTGCAAGACTATGACAATATTTATAGGATGCATTGACGAGGAGCCAAAACTACACTCATAGGCCAAGTGCTGCTGACATTATGGGCCTGATGTTGGCACAGATTCTGTGGAATAAACAATTCTTTGTGTTCTCAATTTGGAAAAGATGTTTAGAAAATGGATTAAAATGCTAATTAAGACAAGAAAGGATGAGACATAAACACATGACAGTATGACCTAAATGTTAAAGTGTTTAAATAAATATAACACATTTATTCTGTGGCATTCTGTTTCTTATAGGAGCCAATGGCCCCTTAATTGAATTTATTTTTTTTTAATCAGCCTGTAACTGAAGTCTCATGAGACCCCAAATGTTCTTCTGGGTTGCTGCAAACAACCATTAAAGCTGCAGTCCGTATGTTTTGCCTCTTTATTGCCATCTCTGTTTGAAACCTGCAACTGCAGTTATTTGCGGAATTATCTTCTTTACATGGGTTGTGCATCGGCATGGCTCCTCAGTGCAGATGAATCTAATGTTTTGAGGTGTGTGTGGGCTGTCAGTCAACGCACCAGTGTAGATATTCACTGTACTTCAGAATTACAGATACGTCTTGGAAGTATGTGCAAAAAAAAGAAGTTTAAGAAGAAATGTCATCTGAACAAGTAAGTGACATGTCTTCCAGTTTTTTTCTGTCCAACTGAAAAAAAAAAGAAGTTTTACAATAAACCGTGTTACCAATGGTGTTTAAATTGAATGATCGCAAAGTTAGCTCAGATCACATCAAACCGTGCAAATTATTATTATTGTTATCATTTTTTCTCAAATTGTTAATGTTAACAACATCAACATTAACATAGCCGGGACTCCTTCTTTATGTATACAGATGTGACATAATGACGCAAAGATGAACAACCCGGACCACTCAAATTAGAAAAAATTTTTACAAGCTTACCGTTGTGATTCAGGCTAAGGTAAGGAGATAGTTTTGAACACTGATTGGTTATGTACTTGCTCAATAATTGATTTTGGATCATTTTTAACTAAAAAAAGTTACATAATGCAGCTTAAAAATTTGAATAAAAAAATTTTTTTTAGTGATTTAGAAATGTTGTCCCCAAAAATACAGCTAAGTCAGAAATGCACACACAGCACTTCAGCTAATAGTCCGTATCTTCTGTGCTGCCGCTGATCAAAGAAGAAAATGCTGACGTACGTCAAACACAGCTGAGATGAAGGCTGCTTCTTCTGATGCAGTCTGCTCTGATACTGCTCATATGAAGAGCGACAAGTATGCATAGATTATATCATTCCCTAATAACCACCATTAGATTGAACATGATGGAACATCATAAATCAATGCTGTCACACCAGACAAACACACATGTGAGAATCAGACAAGGAATATTCCTGACTGACTTTCTATGACAAATGTGGAGGGAATTCTAATACCACATACCAGCAATTTTGTTTAAAGGAAAAGTTGACCTAAAATAATAATAATAATAATAATAATAAGTGACCAAAATAAACAATGCGCTGGGTAAATAAGTTCAGACCACTCATTTGTGTACCGACATGGTTGACAGCTGTTAATGCAAAATCACCGTTTTAGATCAACTAATTGTAATACTGCATAAGATTTATGAAAACATAAATCTAGACTATGCACTGCAGGTTTCAGAACAAAACGCAAAACTGTGACATTTCATTCACTGGTGCCCTAAAAATGACAGCGCACTTACTTACTTTCCGGCAACCCATCAACATAAAAGCTTGTTGATTTTAGGTTTGAAAATGTTGAAAATTCACATAAAAAATAAATAAAATAACATGTAAATATTAGCGCTGTATTTTTAGGTGGACTATAAAATAATTATATTTTATTTAATACTATTTTTTTTATTTTAAAATATAATAGTATTATCGCACTTTATTTATATTTTTATTAATAAATAAATAAAGTGCAATAATACTATTATTACTATTATTAATTATTTTATTTTTATAGTTATATTTAATGGGTCACACTATGTGCAGGGCGAGTACCAAATAAAATCTCCAGGTGCTCTCATGAGAACCAGACTGAAAAACTTACGTGCATCCCTGATTATATAAAAGTTGTGAAAATGTTGTGGAGAGCAACCAGCACATTCTTCAAAATCTCTCCTTTTTGTATTACACAGGTTTGAAATGACATTAATTTAAAAAATGATGACATCTTCATTTTTGGATCAACTATCCCTTTAAGTCTATGAGAAATAGGGCAAAGAAGCAATGGCGTAGATAAAAGGCACATAGCCTGGCTCAGGAACACACACGGAGGAGCATTCTTGTCCCTCTCACAGACAACATGACCACAATGTGTTGTGTGAGAGCCAGAGGCACACACAGGAGCTGAAATGAGCCCAAAACCCATTTCCTGCAGGAGACAGGAATTGGGGGAGGGAGATGGTGGGCGTCACTAAAAACCAGTCCATCCTACTCAAACACGATCACTAATGCCAAACATCTGGAGTGGGCTTTCTCTCTCTCTCACACACACACACATACACACACACAAAGAGCATGAAAACATGCAACTATTACTGCCCCAAACCTCTGTGGATAATCTTTCAGTGATGTTATCATGATGGAGGTGACATTCCACAACTCTGGTCTAGTGATGCCATAATCTTTGTCATATTCAAAGCCAACTCTCATTCAATAGACACTCAATATCCCAAAGTGTCACTTCTACCACTGTATCATATATGTATGGGAACTGACTGGCTCAAGCTAAAGCAGTGCTGGTCATTTTTTTTCAGCTGGTTTCGACAACATCTTCATTAGCCACAAGAAAATTATAAATGTATAGTAGCATATTATATATGCACAAAAATATATTTTATATTTTATTTAAGTCATATATAAACCAGCGTAATTCACAAGAACAATGTGTAAAATCTCATGAAACAGCTAGTTTTTACAATTCTACTATTAATTTGGGTAGGTGGGCAGTGAAGCAGAAGTGTACTAAGCGGAGTATGAGACATGGCCACCATACTTCCTTTATGTAAATATATTCAAAGACAGACTCTGACTGTAGGACAGTAAAGCTATGTTACATTTTGATCCTTCTTATAGTAACCTATTCACAAACAGTTTTCACCAATAAATGAATAAACAAACACATCTGGTATAGCATAGATCATTTACCTCTTATTTATAGGTTTGATATCTTTCAAAAGTTTGGGGTCTTGAAGATTTTTTGAAAGCAGTCTCTTATGCTCACCAAGGTTGCATTTATTTAATCAAAGACACAGTAAAACATTTCTAGTTTAATATATTGTAAACCATATATTTTATTTTACATTTTAAATGTATTCCTATGATGGCAAAGCTGAATTTTCAGCATCATTACTCCAGTCTTCAGTGTCTCAAGATCCTTCAGAAATCATT